CAAAAAAATTACTAAAAACCTTACAAATTAGTTGGTATTTAAATACTTTGCTAATGGTACTCTTATATTTTTAATTGGAATTGGTGGTATCAAAGTTCAAACCTAAATTTTTGTTTGAAATCTCCCCTTTCTATTTAAATATTAAAAAAAAAAGGTTAAAAAATTAGTTAGATATTTATCTAACTATAGTCCATAAAAGTTGATTTATTATTATTTATAACAATACATTATATATTTTTAACATATTTTAAGTATTCATAATTAAAATTTTTTATTTTAAATATATGTATATAAAACATATACTAGTACTACCCAAAATCTCACGCTATAGAAAAGTCTAAAAACTATCAGCCATTTTTGACAATTTTAAATTTAACAATAAATCGTGTAACAATCGTTTTAATCGTCTTAATCGTTTATTCTAAATTAAAACAGCAGTTGTAAATTTTGGAAATGTGATTTTCTCTCGTAGCTTTGATTTTTTGAAATTAAAATGAATTTTATTTGGAAAAATTGTTTATCTATATTTAATTTCATAATAAATTCATGTACTGGATAATTAAACAAATAATATATACGAATAGAATATCTATGAAATAATATTTAACATTTTAAACCTTCTGAAGTAACATTTGTGACCTATTGATTTGATTTTTTGAATTATAACAACGATATTTACATTATTTTTATTATGTATTTTTTTTTTCGATTATAAAAATATATTGTACAATGGTCATTTCACGTGAAATAACATAATGGGTGTGCGACTATACTTCAAAAATGTTATCATACATTCTATATAGGTCCTTAAAAGGTGATTTCACGTGGAATGACCCAGAATAGTTTAACCTTTATTATAATTTGTATGTTCAAAATTCAATGATTAAATATATTTATATAGAAAATTAAAATGAATACTAATTATTTGTGTCAACCACCTTGTGATCAAACTTAAGACACTGCCATCTCTTTCACACTCTTGTGTGAAAGCTTGTGGAGTATACTTACAAGATACGACGTTTTTTTGAAAACAACGGCTTATAAGAACACAGTTTTCTATCAATATTTAAATGTTTGTGTATATAATTATTATTTACAAAAAATTAACTTGTATTATTTAATAAGAGTTTATAGTTATAACAGTAATATTTAAAACATTTTGCCCCTGGATGCCGACCATTTTTAAGGAGTTTTGTATAGGCAATATTTTTTGCGTGTACGAAAGTGTCTGTTCTTGTGTTAGTGTGTAAACAAACATTAATGTGCGTGCCGTTGTATTTCCGCTACAGCACCACTCTTATCAGTGGTCATAAAATTATAGCAATAAGACCACCCGGCGACGGTCAAATTGTTTTTTACTACCAAGAAAATATTATATAATCGACAAAATAATATTTTGAAGAGCTAGCCTAAACAAAATCTAGGTAAGTACGTGCTAAATATGCTCAGTTCGCCAGAAACTAACATCACCTAATACAGATTTAGTTCTTACTGAATCATAAAGATCGTAAAGATAAATCATGAAGATCGGAGTACTTTTTCTACTACTTGTAGTGTAGGTATAAATACAAAGAAGTAAAGACACATCAACGTAAATCAAACCGCCACAATCAAAGTTACGCGATTTTTTATTCGAATAAAACGTTATTTGAATAAACATTTCACAGTTTATTTAAATAATGTTTTTTGATTCATTCGAATAAAAAAATATTTATACAAAAAATTGGCTTCCTATATTTACTGGTTTTACATATTTTCTAAATGTAGTATATATTAGATTTATACGAAATCATATTTTCAAATATAGTTACTTAAAACTATTTAAAATCTATTTATTTAAATTATTTTAATCATTTTAAATATTTTATTCGACCCATTCAAATATTATTTTCATATTACATACAATGTAGCGTATTACACACAAAAATAGACTCTGTAATATTTATTATTTCACTAGACTGACAATTATACTGAATAAATGATAATGAAACTTTTATATTCGTACATACATATATATTTTCAAAAACAAATTTATATATATAAAAATAAACCTCCTGAAATAAATTTAAACTAGGAACATCTATTTGGAATTTTTTATTTACTGTACGTAGGTATTTTCAGTATTTTAATTTGAACGTTTTATAAATTTTTTTTTATTATTAATCTGTCCATTTGGTTTTAAACCCTGCTTGTAACTATCGATACACTAACATTGGAGTATTTTTAAATTTAGGCAACACGAAAAAACCAACTTTTTAGACTCAACTTTAGTGTTTTTCTATAACAAAAAAAAATCAAAATTGTTTTCAGAAAGCAAAAAGAAAGAAGATCATTTTATGTATGACACTGATTTTTAATCATTTTTTTGATGACCGAAGATACTTTAATTTTTCATATTATTTTTTATTTAGTTTTGTTAACTGTTGGCACACGATACCGCTGAACCAATTTCTTCGAGTATGCAACTGTATAGATTATAAATCGTACCTGAAATATACTTTATTGGACCAAAACTTAAAAAAAGTCTTTCCTTCTTTTTCAAAATCGAGAAAAATACCAAAAAATTGTACACATTTTCCAACTTATAATTACGATGCTTCATAACTTTTTTAAAAATAGTAGAATTACTTCCAAATTTATATTGATTATTTTTATTAGTGAATACGGAATGTACGAATACTTCCACTTTATCCATTTATAAAATATTATTTAAATTAATTTTACTTTATTATAAATAAAATCACAGAAAAATATAGTAAATGTAATGTCAAACCTTTGATCATTACTGCTTTCTTGCTACTCATTTTCACAAGACTCGCTCTGCGACGTCGAAGCATCAGAATTTTCCTATATACGTACGAATTTAAAAATAGTAAGAAATAATCGTAATTGATACTTATTTTGACTTATTGAGTTTTTATAATTTTTCCATTTGAGGAGTGATTTAATATTTTATTTGTTTTTTCTTATTTTTGATAATCGCTTCTTTTTAGGAAAACTTTCCATTTTAATTTGTATTAACCTTATATAAAACCAGCACAGTGTGTAAACACAGGTAAATGCATGACGTGCAGCAAAGTACTATAGCTTGTTTGTACTATTATTTGTACTATTTCATTAGACTTATTGTACATATAAGTACGAATACCGAGTATTTCTATTTACACTCTTCCGGACTTTTTGGACATCTATCATTAATATCATATATGGTATATCGATAACTATGGCCCAGTCAATAACTTGAAAGGTATTAAACGGGTCAAACAAGTTTATCAAATAAGGGATAAGTAATCTGAAAACAGATTTGAATTCTTCATGAAGTTTACTTGAGATCGATCAGCGTACATTTTTGATATCTTATTCCTACTACGCATAAAACACGTTTGAACATTTTATCAAATTTGGAAAGGGTTAAACTTAAAAATTGAAAAAAGTGATCTCAAGTAAACATCATGACGACTTCATATCTGGTTTTAGATTGATTATCGGATCACTGGTTCAGTCTGTGCGATGGACCAAAAATTATGTATTTTGGCTAAAAAACGGTCGGTATCCAGGAGCCTTAAACTGAACTTTTTAAAGTTTTGAACACAAGAACTGGCACCGCCTAAACGCGTATGGTTAAACAATTCCTGTTTTCATATACGTCAAGAGTGCCTGACTCATATAAAAAAAACCAGTCATTTTCTAAACGAATAAATGGACAAAAATCCCAATTGCAGATTCCCGAGAGGTAGATTAATGAGTTCTTACTTATTTGAAATACGTTTTTATTCAGTTTACAAAAAAAAAAAAATATTTTTTTATTCAGTTTACAAATAAAGTCGCGCATTTGTAGCTACTAATTGGTATTCAATACACATTTTTTGTTTTTCAATATGTATACTTTACCAATTGAAGGACACAGGGAAAAACGGTAATAGTCACAATATAAACATTTTTTTTTTAAATAGTTTTTTTCAATTTATGCCAATAATTTTTTTTATTTATGTCAAAAGATTATTTAAGTAAATACATTTATCATTAGAGTGGCATTTAATGTGATTTTTTTGTTTTCATGTAAGAGGTAGAGCAATTCACGAACTTTGTTTTTGCTATACTCTAAAATTTTCATAATGTCACAACTACCGTTTTTACGCTGTGCCCTTCAATTATAATTTACAACGAGTACAACACGGTTATCTATATAGGGTAGACAAATTCAAAGTATAATTAATTAAATATTGTTGTGGTTATTTTACCTATTAGTAAATTCAACATTTTAATACTCAAATGAAGGATGACTTTATTTTTGCAATCTATTCTAGGTCGTGGTATAACTTAGAAAATAAAAAATATTGTTCCAATTGTTTTTCTTTTCCTGGGCGAAGCCGGGTACACAGGCGGTTTGTTAATACGGAAGACGGTTATTTACTAGAAATTCAAAGCATACAAAACAAACAAAATATCGATAGAAATCAAACAGTATTTTTGCCGGAAAATATCCGGGTAGCTATCAATAGACATAATAGACACACACATTATTTACTATGCATGCAAGCGCAAAACAACAGAAGATATTAGTTTGAGGCCTAAAATAATAATGTTATTGGAAAACTTGTTTTGAAAAGACTATGTGCATATTATACAGTTAATCTTGAATAAGACATGAGGGATTTAACTGTACGATAGGGTACCCCATTTGGCATTAATTTGTTTTTAAAAAAATGCAAAATTTGAATATAAGATGACAAGAAGTTCACTAAATATATTATGTCGCGTCTATATAATTTTGTCGGGTATTACCAGGAAGCCATACTTTCACATTTGTGCATTATGACCTCAATACTTTTATTTGATAAAAACAGTGTAAATAGACTTTTGCACCTATGCCACAGTTGGAGACTTGTCGGAAACGTATTTGATATATTTATTTACTGTTTTGGATTTTATTTTTCATTTCCTTATAAAACTGGCCTTTATAAGCCTATAACTGTTGAGAGTAAAAGTAATAGTTTTATCACACTGTTAAACATCGGTTTATAATAGATAGATACAATGTATTTCAAAATCTCAATTATTTTGCTTCTAACTTGTTTGATGTTTGTCGAATCCACTGTAACACTAAATAATTCAGAAGTGAGTTTTAATAATTTGTTTTGACTAAAACTATTAGTTTAAAATGATTTCCTTCTAACATTAGGTATACACGGTGTCCCACAGAGACATGAGAAATTTTGATTAGCTTTGGAAATTGTTCTCAATAAAATGGTTATCTTGAAATTTTCAAAAATGTAACGAAAAAAATAAAAAAAAATAATACAAACTATGGTGTTTATAACGCAAATGAATATAAATTAATTTTAAAAAAAAACTCAGCAGAATAAAAACTGATTCATTTGGTATGTCTTTGTGGGACACCTGCACAGCAAGTGTTAAACATTATTTGTTTGTTAAATCATTTATAACACACGAAAAATGTGTAATCATTTTTAGCCTCATTACTGTCCGATTTAATATAGGTACTAATATTTTTTATTTTTATTTTAAAAGTCTTTAAGTCTGTTGGGTATACTTTTGCATAACTCTTGTCTTAGTGATTTCCATTAAACTAAATAATATTTGTGAACTTTAGCCAACAATGAAATAATGTTTAAAATAATTTATTTGTACAATTTGTATATTGTGTACTAGCACAATTAGGCTTATAAAACTAATGTGGAGTATACATATCTTCTATTACAATTACAACAGTTTCTAAATTAGTTAAAAAACAAAAGTTTTTTAGATTTGATTTTTTCCAGAATCAGGAAATTATAATACATAGTACATAATAATACATATACAAACTGTTTGATTGTTAATTGCATATTGTTCTCTAGTCTGCAAAAAAATGTTTGTGAATGAAATTTATTAAATAAGTAAAAAAAAACTTTTCAGTTGTTACAACGTTCTTGGGCAAATATCAGGACTAGATCCGCAATGGCAACGTATTTCAACATAAGCGTACCGCAACTTGAAAATTTAGCGGCAACAAATAATATTCCAAACCTAGGTAACCATTTTAATTTTTAATTTTATAAAAATTATTTATTGTTGATGCAAAGCTATGACCATTGATTATGTAATAGACATTCATAATCAATGCTATGACTTAGACCTTCCTCTCATATTATCAAGGGAACTCGACTAGAGCTTCCGTTTTTCTATTAGTACTGTTTGAGCAGAGCGATCAATATTTTATGTTATTAATTAATAATAATAATAATTATACTGTTACAATATTTAACGTTTAAGTTAAAATAATTGTGTGTGAGGGTAGATTATACTCCTTTTTATGTGGATACAACGCAACAGGTTTACATAGGTGTATATAGAATTTTTTAATTTTTTAAAATTAAAAACCTCTAATAAAAGTATATTTGCAAAATATATGCTCTAAACATGTGTGTGAGAAATTTTTATTTCACTATATAAATATTGTACAATATTATTTTTTAATTAAATATATTTTATCCTATTTTAAGTAGTTAGTTGCTAATGATTTTAATTTCATATATATTATAACTTATAACCCACTCGCTTTTCCACCGCATACAATTTTTGGAATAAATCATTTATATATTTACTTTCAAGTATAACTTAAATCATAAAAAATTTGGGAAAAAAGTATAAATTTACATTACAAATTAAATTCAACATATATGTATTAGCGTTGTATGTTATTTGATAAAACAATTATTGATTTAATACACTCGATAACAATATTTTTAAATAATAATTTAAGTATATTACATTGTATTTTCCCGGGTTTTGTTAATTAACAAAACGGTGTAAAATTACTCGTAACTATCATCTGAATAAAAGAAACTAAAATTGTAAAAAATACAATAAAATATAAAAGTTGCTTAAAACGGCCAATTTTTTCTTGAATAAAGTATTAGGATATTCAAAAGTGAGTTAACAAAAAATATCTAATAGAACCAGAAAGAGTTTTTATTTGAATTTTTTACAATATGGTGTATTGTTGTATAGTTTTGTCCCATAACTATTTTTCATTTTTTTGGCGATCTGATATCGTTATCCAAAAAAATTAAGTATATGTTGAAATTTTAAATTAAATTTACTTTTTTGCGATATTTCAGACCATGTATCGTTGGAGCAGTTTAGGACGCTTGCAATACTGGTTGTTCGTAATGGATGGAATACTGTAGAGAATCTTACAAATGCCAACCCACACAAGATCGTACCCATTCAATAAGCTGACTGCTCCAAAAATATTAACGGTTTGTTATAATTTGAACCTGGACCAAATTGTAATATACAACTCAAAAATATACAACTTAAATATTAAAAAAATACCTTGATTTTTTGTCTCATATGAGAAATACATTTTCTTCTTCTTCTCCTTCACGATCTTCCATATCAACTTCACGCATACCAACAATTCTTATATCATTCTCAATCGCATCAAACCCCTTTTTTCCCTTTCCATCTTTCCTCTTACGTTTTTTTTCATCACACTGTATTCTATCAAAGTAACTATCTTAGGACTTAGGCTATTTGTGAGTCGTGAGAAGCACTTCTTTGTTCATAAAGTGTGTACATAGTTTCTCATAAATCGTCCAATAATAATAGTTGTCAATAAAAAAAAACTATTTTACCATCAAGTTATTATAATGCAGTTAGATTAGATTAGCAACACTGTTATCTATTATCAGTTAAGTTAAGTTAGACTAGCTAGACTGATATTGAACTTGCCTTAAGTATTATTCTTATAAAGAATATCAATCATTATATACTATCTACAGACGCAGATGACAGTGTTATCGACGGGCGTCAATATTATTGTTAAACAGGAATGCTACTGTTTTAAACACCGAACAAATACAAATTTAAATATTTATAGTCATCGTAAGTGAATAAGTTGTTGAAAATTAAAAATTTAAAAGCTAAAGTTGTTTTGAAATTAAAAAAAAAAAACGGAGTCCATACTTATTTCACGTACAAGGGACGAAAGTAAACATTTTTTAAGTTTTGAAAAATATAGTAATATATGTACCTACGAATATAGAAAAAATATAATTTCCAAAATATTCATATTTTCCAAAGAAATGAGTGTCTTACATCAAATGAATCGCCCTTTATAAATCTGGGTACTGTGAATATGTTATTAACATTGTTTTATTATTTATTTTCTACACTAACAATTTTTGAATAATATTATAATATTGAACATAGTTGATTTCGAGTATTTGCTGTATTTTTATATTGAAAAACCACAGTTTGAAATAATATGTCATCGCCAATTTAAACAAAAAAACAAATCAATACAACACGATAAAACGCATACACTTTCTACATAATATACTACCATGTATGTTTGCTACAGAAACAAATATGTAGGTCTTACGATTTATTTAAAAGGAATATTCTAGTATTATATTTCCCCGTTCTTACGTTTGTTATTAGTCCCTAATAGTCGGGATAAAGGCAAACGAGAAGAAGGTGTAATTTTTAATTAAGAATAAATGAGTCGTTGACTGCAGAAAGGGGACAAAAGTCATGTTTTATGGGTCACCTCTAAAAATCCCCGGTGGTCACCCATCTAGGATCAAACATCAACGGACACAGCTTAACTTGAAGTGCTGCGTGACAGATCGAGATGTCCACAGTGCCACAACAAGTCCCTAAAATACTATAAAATTATGTTTTCACTTTAATTGACACCGTTTAAATTCTTGCTGTCACTTCAACCGCGCTTTATCGTGCCAACGTACTTACTCTATTCTAGTTCCTAATATATATTACATACCCAATTAATAAAACCAAATGTATAAATTGCTCATATCGCTTAACTACTTGATCTCGCAGTGTATTAAGATCTCTGACAATTGGTATACGCCAAAACTTCTGATGCCGTGAAACCGTTTGGATACGTCTAGCTGTACTTCGCTGTATCTTTTTTGCATAAAGCCTGCTCCGTTTTACAGTAAGTATACCGGGTGATTGGTTAACTATGGACCACTCAATATCTTAGAAGATATTAGACTTTTTTAATTTTTTTTTTTTTTTTGTACTATTATAGTTATTAGGTGGAACAAATTTAATGTATTTTTCAAAATTTTAACACCATCCCTTTGCGTTAAAACCATATCAACTTTAGATTTTTAAACGGTAACCCCCAATTTTTTTTTGATGATCGTGTTTATTTTTTTTAAATTTAATTATAGGCGTAAAAATTAGCTAAATCAGACAAGTACTTTTAAAGTTAAAGCTTAGTACTATAATATTATAATATTAGCTTGTATGAGATGCTTTTGTAAGTTTTACAGCTAAAGAAATTAAATCGTTTATCGCCGGATCTCACGTTTCACAAAATAAGATTGATTAACGATAGGGTTGTAGATTAAAGTTAATAGTTGACGGTCGTCGGTCACAATGAAAACGAATTAATAATAAATCTATAATAATATTATATGGGTAATGTCTTCTTATCTGTTTTTTCTGTAGTGTTCCTAGCGGTGCAATGTACCTGTACGTATTGAATATTAGGCATTAGCTGCTGTTAACAAACAATATTATGAGCCCTAGTAATTAGTTTTTTTTTTCAATTTCAACCATAGGTTACCGTGGTCTAATCACGGTCTTATATAGAGTATATACCGTAGTTCTACCAAAACGATTCGTTACTAGCGTAGATTAATATCAACACAGAACAAATTATTATAAAAATACGACTACTTAAAAACTAATCAAAAAGTTCATTTTTCTAATTTTTCAATTATTATGGTTATTTAGCGTCTTGGTCTTAATAAGTATTACTTGTACTGGTGTCTTAACTAGTCAAATTATTAATTCTGTTAGTGAAAATATTTTTAAAAAAACTTTAATAAATAACATTCAATTTTTTGTTTTTTTAGTATAATATTGTATTACATACAGTTAATAGATAATATGTACAGAATATATACAGAAATAAACAAAAACTAAACTTAATATGTTCAGAAACTATTTAGCATTTGTTCGAACTGGTTTATGATAGGAACATAAGATGTCAAACAACATCTTTATAAGGCATCTATTGTGTTTATTAAAATGTTTAGATAACAAAGGATTCCATAAGAACTACGTTCATCCAATACTTGTGCACTAAAATAAATTTTCATTTTTATAATTTAAAGTTGTAACGCGTCAATTTTAACTATTTCTATTTCAGTATTTTTAATTATTTAAAGCTGTATTTATTTATTAACTCTTTATTATATTACCACCTTAAGCCTATACTGTATATATTTCATAGTATTGACTATTCTTACTTATTTTAATGTGTTCATATGAACAGTAAAAGTATGTTTCTTATTTAATATAGGTATATTAATGGTATATAGGTATAGTATATTTATAAATGGTTGTTTTTCTCGTTGTACGAGGTATAAGCAAAAATTTAGAGTGACAATGATAAAGTACAATTTTTTTTGTTTTTGTACAGCTTTTTTAACAGTCATAAGCTTAAAATTCAATAATAATACTACTAACAAACATTTAAATACTATATTATGTTATGTTTATTATGATAATAGTAAAATAAAAAAACAAGTAACAAGATAAATAATATGCTTTTAAGATACGAATAAACATTTTTATTTGCTAAATCATATTAAAAAATTAAGACTAAATAAAATTAACATATCTATAATTAACTTGTAAATAATAGAGGTACAACATATTGCTGTATATAGTGATGTATTTATAGGAAGTTACCTAGGGCGGTAAAGTTTGTTTGATGATTTCCCACTAGAAGAAATCCATCTTCATTTACATATTTAAGTTAAAAAATATTTATAAGTATATTCATTCAATTTACTTTTTTACACTTAATCCAATAGTTAACATTTTTTTTTTCTATTTTGTGTTTCATAATTTTATTTACTTTATTAATTATAAAAACTTAATCGTAAACCACTAGAAAGTTGTCAATAAATTCTGTAATAGCTAATGCAAAAACTATGCCATCATGAAAATAATTTCAAGATTTGGATTAAGAGAATAACATATTTTAGAAATATTAACATTCTCAGCAGTATTTTAGATTAAATTAATATTAAATAAAGAATTCATCATTAATAATTAATAAATAATGTATAATAATTATAGATTGTTAAGTATATGTGTGTTGAAATACTTAGAGTTTAAAAACTTTATGTCACTTTCAAAATGATAAAGTACTTTTAAATTATTTTATTGAATTACATTTTTAGCTGAATAACTATATATAGTTGTCTAATATTTGATTTGAACTTGTGAATCCATCTTATTCTTCTTACTGACTTAATGGAAAACCGTTATCTGCAATAGTGTGCCACAGTAACTAAAAAAAAAAAATAATAATAATAATAAATTGTTAGTGATGAATTCATAGAAATTAACTAAATTATTGCAAACTGATGATCTTATATATTTTACCTTAAAATAAAACACCTATAAATTTACTGAAAATTGAATACCACAACATTCGACAATGTATTGATGGAATTGGTTTAGACTGATTGACTACAATAATATAACACACCAAATTTGACGTTGGTAGTAGTGATATTTGGTTAAGCAACAAATATCAGTATACACATATATTTTTTATAATTATACAAGTATGATAATTTTTAAGTTATACGTTAATTTTTAAGTAACGCATTTTAATAAAACATATTAAATATGATAAACATAAGTAATCCAAAAAAACTTATTATGTAAAAACATTTTATATGTTCATGAATAATAAAAAAACGATTCATTATATTTTTCTCATAAAAAAATGTACTTTTACAATACACCTATATCAATAAATACATTATCTTACCTATTATTGATTCAGTAAACGGTGATTGAAGATTCAGTTTTTTCATAAAAAAATTTATATTTTTTCTTTGAATTCAGATACCAATATGTTAAAACACAAAACTACACATTTATAAGTTTCTCAGAACAAAGACATAATACTGTAAAAATAAAAGTTTTAATTAAAATATCATGGAGTGGTCCACAGTTAACCAATCACCCGGTATGTAAAATGTCACAATGCCATCAATGTATTTAAGGAATCCGAATCAGGTTATTTTGAAGAACGAAAACAATTCTTTAATGATACATGCACGGCGTTTAGTCAACAAAATTATGAGCTTGGTGAATACTGGCCCATATGCGGACATCAGTGCTATGTCGGCTCCTAAAATGGCCACCAAATAATACGGAACTATCACCAGAGCTGGACCAAGTGGCGGCGGTGTTGACCAATTCGGTGTACTGAATCGACTCCAAAATGAGTTTATAAA